CGGAGGAGGAGCAGGCCGGGCGAGCGAGGAGGTATCCGAAGACCAGGCAGCAAGCAGCAGCTTGCATGACGGGCAGCCTTTGCAGGGCGCCCGCCTGGTCGTTCTCCTTGCCTTCTCAACGAAAGGATGGAGCATATTTCGGGCGAAGAGAACTATGCACATGCACCGATCCTTGCAAGGCCCATCCTTGACCCAGGATCGGTGCATATGCCTTCCTGGCCAAGGTAGGAGGGCGTATGCACCGATCCTGGGCTCAGGATGGGTCTGGCCAGAATCGGTGTATGTGCATAGTTCTCTTTCCTCTAATATTGGCGTTACGCCTGGCCTGTCCCGCTACAGGGGGAATATTCAAAATGTCCAAAAAATAATCAGGGACGATTGTTTTGACCATGTTTGAACATTTTTGGATAATGTTTGTGGTCTTTGTAATTTGTTGCTCAAAATCCCCCTGTAGGGGGACACGCCCGACTTAAGATTGGCGTGGGATCCGAGTTTCTCCCTACCCACACGCAAGACAAGTGCGTTAGATCATGGGCGAACCCTCACGCTGCAACCCGACGCGTAAGTTGTCCATCTAGCGTTAAGTCGGGCGTGTCCCTCTACAGGGGGATCTTCAAAAATAGTCTAAAGATAATATGGTGGCGATTGTTTGGCGATGTGTCAACCATTTTGGGGCATTTGGGGGGTTTTCAACCTTCTTCCTTCAAATCTGCCTGTAGGGGGACATGCCCCACCTGAATCTAGCGAGATACGCAGTTGGCCCGACCGGGCTGCTCGGACTGCTGGTTTCGGCAAGGACCGGATGTGTCATGACGGAGGCGATGACACATTCGCCGTCATTCCATGGCGGTAAGTTTAGGTCGGGCCTGTCCCTCTACAGGGGGAAATTCAAAAAATAGTCAAAAAATAGTCCAGGGACGATGTTTTGAGCATTTTCGGCTATTTGTTTAGCATTTTTCTGTGTCTTTTTTCTTTTTCGTCCGAAATCCGCCTGCAGGGGGATCTCATGCCCGACCTAACGGTAAGTCAGCCTGAAGCTGGAGCATTTGTCGGATGGATCTCTCAAGCTTTCTGCCGCCCCAAGCGGCGCGCGTCCAGAGCGGAAGCACGGCAGAGCCGCCGGATGTGCCCCATGCTCTGTGAGCACGCCGCTCGAGGCGGCGGGGAGTTCGAGAGACCCGTCCAGCAAGTGGCATTCGCCGCCCTCGGCGGTGAGTCACCCTGAAGCTATGCGAGCCCTCTGGTGTTAAGTCGGGCCTGTCCTTCCACAGGAGGAATATTCAAAGATAGTTAAAACATAGTCTGGGGGCGATTCTTTTAAAATATGTTTGTGACTATATGGGCGCATTTTGTGAGTGTTTTTTATGTGCCGCCAGAATCCGCCTGTAGGGGGACATGCCCGAGCTAAGTCTGGCGGGGAGGAGCGCGGAGCAGAGGAGCGCGGAGAATAGGAGGCCACATGCGAACCCTACCCCGACCCCCCACGGTTTCTGCGGGGGAGGGCGGGGTTCCCTTCGCTCGGGAGCTCCCCCCCCCTAGCGGAGAAGACGGAGGCGGGGCGGGGCGCGCGAGCGCGCGTCGGGGCAGGGGCCGGTCGATGAGACCGTCGCGCGGATCCTGCAGCACGGCGAGGCGGCCCCCGCTCTCCCGCGTGCCGGCCCAGTGCTGCCTGCGGTCGGGGGCTTCTGGCCTGCGCGGCCGCAGTTCTTGTTGTTATAGTTTTTGATATTAAACACATATGTCATAATAGTACTACGACTGCTACGACTATTTTTACTACTGCTACGACTACTACTACTATTATTATTATTACTATCACTACTACTACTACTACTACTACTACCACTACTGCTACTACTACTACTACTACCACTACTACTACTACCACCACTACTACTACTACTACTACTACTACTACTACTACTACTACTACTACTACTTCTACTACTACCACTACTACTACTACTACTACTACACTACTACTACCACTACCACTACCACTACACTACTACTACTACTACGACTACTACTACTACTACTACTACTACTACTACTACTACTACTACTACTACTACTACTACTACTACTACTACTACGATTACTACTACTACTACTACTACTACTTACTACTACTACTACTACTATTACTACTACTACTACTACTACTACTACTACTACTACTACTACTACTACTACTACTACTACTACTACTACTACTACTACTACTACTACTACTACTACTACTACTACTACTACTACTACTACTACTACTACTACTACTACTACTACGACTACTACGACTACTACGACTACGACTAGGACTACGACTACGACTACGACTACGACTACGACTACTACTACTAATATTAATACTAATAAGAATAAAACAGAACTACTACTAACAATAATAATGATAGTCATTATATGAGTAATACGATTCATAATAATATAACCAAGAATAAGAATCAAGTGTTTCGACGATCTCCGCGGGCCCCCGCGCCCCCACCCCCCTTCCTCGGAGGTTGACAGACCTCCTGCCCTGATGCGTCGATTTAGCGAATCGGCCGTGTTCGGTTCGCGGCGGGGCGTCGCGGCCATCATCTTTGCGGGTCCAGGTCCGTCGGTTTCGGCCCTGGGCCGCTCTCACGAAAGGGTGGTTTGCTAAAGGGAGGCTTGCCCACCGCCGACTTCCCCGCCCCACAGACCAGGTCTTGGCTGCCTCTGGCGGCTGCCCCCGGCGACTGGCCAGGGCGCCCCCCCGTCACCCAGGCTGTCTGCGCGACCGGCAGACGCAGCTCGGCGCAGCTCCGGCCCAGGCCCAGACCCTCCCCTGGCTCCTGATCCGCCGTACTTTGGATGATTTTCCGACCTAAAATTGTATCGGAAATCGACGCCAAAGGAGCCTCAAGGGCGGAAATCGACGCTCAAAGGGGCCTCAAAAGTAGGGCGGAAATTTCCGCCCTACTTTCGAAATCGCTTAAAGTAGGGCGGATCAGGAGTCAGGGTCCCCCCCGCCTCCCGACATCCAGGCTATCCCAAAACGCTTACGTGTCGCTCCGCCGGTTCTGGCCCACCACGCCGTCGGCGCGACGCGCTGTCCGCTCCCTGCCCCCCAGGCTCCTGCGCCCCGCGCCCGTGCGGGCCTCGCGCCCCGCGGCGCGGCGCGGCGCGCCGTCCTCCTCCTCCTCCTCCTCCTCCTCCCTCCTCCTCCTCCTCCTCCTCCTCCTCCTCCTCCTCCTCCTCCTCCTCCTCCTCCTCCTCCTCCTCCTCCTCCGCAGGGCAGGCGGCGTGCCGCCGGAGCCGCCGCGGCGACACGGTGTGCACAGGTTCTCGGCCGGGCCTTCCGGCGCCCGTGCCGGCCATCTGCCCGCATCCCCGGAGAAAGGTTTGCCGTTCGCCGCGGGCGCTCCACTGCTCGCAAGGTGCCTACTCGCAGGCGTCCGAGCCGCGCAGGTCCGTTCTCGGTGTCAGTTATATCGCAGATGCCCCCCGCGGCGGGTCCAGGCCACTTGCGAGCAGTTACCTCTGCGAGTCGTGGAGCGCGCTCGTCCAGCCGTGGAGGGCAGCGGCCACGAGGGAGACGTGCCCCGCACACCCGCGGCCCCTGGCTGCGGAAGTGTGGCGAGTCCCTTGCGCGGCCCACTGCCAGCCTCACGGTCTGCACGAGCGAAATGGGTACGGGAAACGGAGAAAGGCCGGCCTTCCGAAGCAGTAAGGAACGGAGACAAAGGGACCCCGGGAACCCAGGGGAGGACGCGAGGAGGGCTAGCCTTTCAAAAACAAGGAGTCGTAAAGCCCAAGGGATCCAGGGACCCCGGGGGAACCCCGAGGTTACGCCACTTCAAAGAAAACAATGATCGGCACGAACGAAATGGGTACGGAAAGAATGGGTACAAAGCCCAACAACAGTTCCTGTTCATTCTGAACAGGGCTCGCTGTCGGGGTCGCCGCGGCACGTGTCCATTTGAGACAGGAGGCCGCCTGCCCAGCAGCGGCCGCTGCTGCTTTGGGACAACATTTGTTGTTGGGCATTGTACTCCTTCTTTCCGTGCCCATTTCGGGCGTACAAGCACGGGTTCTCTGCCTCGCTCCCGGGCCTGCGGGGCCGGCAGGCGCAGCCCTATAAGCCCAGCGCTTGAGCCTCTTGCGCCAGGTTGCCGCTCTCGGCGACCATGGGCCTGCTGTTTTGCTCGCTGGCTTGGGGCCTCCGGCCCCATCCTCGCCCCCCGGGGCGTCGACAAAACGACTCGTTACCCGTGCCCCGCAGGACCCTTTGCCTTCATGGACAGCGGGGAAGCAGGTCCCGTGACGGTCATCTCGCCTCTTGCGGTGAGTCTTGGTAAGCGGCGAGGGGGCCGTCACGGAAGCGGTCCGCATTGGGGAAGCGGGCGCGAGGGCCTTGCCGCGTCCAGTGCGGAGTGGTTTGCTCCGTGGTTGCGCCCGCCCCGCGGCAGACCCACGCCAGGTCCACAGAGAACCATCGAGGTGGGCTCGATGCGGATTGCCACGTAGTGCTCACGTCTGTTCACGACTGCGGTGTGCACCCAGCTGAGCACAGCTTGCCCAGCGGAGCCTTGTCCTACCTGAAGTCTCGTCACCGCCCCAGGTGCGAATATGTTTCTTCGAATCATGGCCGTAAATGATACAGCGGACCTTCGCATTCTTGGACGCGGTGTGAGGAGCCCGGGTGGGTCAGGTACACCATTGGCTCATGCACGCTGGCAAAGTTGGCCACCGAGAGTTTGACCTGAGCGTTGCGGCCAGAAACGAAGTGCGTCAGCATGTGGAAAGACGTGACGATTTCCACCACGTCGTTATCCTAGAGTTCTTGGGGCCTGTTGGATAGGGGGTCGAATGCTATAGTCGAGGAGTTCGCGAGGGATCCACGACCGAGCCAATCGAGTTTCTGAATTGCTTTGGGGCTCTGGGCCGTCCTCTGCAACCAGGCACGAAACCTGTCGGGGGTAGGAGGGCGTCACCAAGTAGTCTACGCAATTGGGGCGTTGAGTCTGACAGACATCACACGTATCAGCTTACGCGTTTGATCGTCCCTACAGGTGGGGGGTCTGTCTCCCGCTGGTCTTTGCTTCCCTTTTTCGAGGCCGCCCAGATAGGGTCTGAGTTGATGGGGTCGGAGAACCGCGCAACATTGTGGATGTATCGGCGATGCGCCGCGATCCGGAGGATTAACTCCGGAGTCAATTCTTTTTTTCCAGCGTGGATCCTGCTACAGGCTTTCCCGTGGATTAACTCCAGAGTTCATTCTTCCTAGCGCCATGGTGCGTATCCGCTGCTTATACATTCGAGAGGCGTAGCCATCCCTTTTGGTGAGAGGCGTAGCCATCCCTTCCATTTTCAAGCTAGGACGTTCGCATGCGCGCAGAAATGACAGAACAGACCCCCAAGCGTGAGGCCCACCGCTTTTTTTCGGCGGGCTCGACGGCAGCCCAAGAACACCGACGATTGCACAACTGCCCAGGAGCAGGTGGCTGCAGGACAGGTCACCGTGCATGATTCGTTGGCGTCGCCCTCACTGCAGGGGATCCCTCATACCTCTTTGGGGCCTCGTATTCCTGAAATGTTTGAGGTGTAGGAGGGAGCAGGAGGACAGTAGCACACCCAGTATGCACCAATGATGCTGCAATCTACCCTCCCGTCCCACGTCCCCTCTAGGGAATCCCCAACAAACGCTCCACTTCACTACGAAGCCCCCCTTGAAAGACGAGCTCTTCATGATCTTGACATGTAGGCGAGACTCTGAACAGGATCCGCCCTCTTTCCGTCTAGCTACAAGACTTGTTGATCTGTAGAACCCTAAGGTCCAGTGAAGTGCCCAGCGGGAGACCGCCTCGAACAAACAGCATCCATCCGCATCCATGTATGTTGTCCATCTTGCTTCTAGACACGGGACCAACGTAGGTCTCAAGCGACAGCCTCATTTTCAAAAGGATCCATCCCTACTTAGTGCGGTTGCACACGCTTGAAGGTTTGTGACCACAGAACTCGAAGGGGGTCGCGCGATTAACTTGTTTGAAACAGGTGCCGCTCCTCATCCGCGTGGCTGCGAGATTGTTTAAACCGAGCGTGCTTGGCGCTGAGGCGACCGCCTAACTTGGAACACCAAACGATGGCGTATGGCATTGGAGACATCTGAGACGGAGGTGCGCGCGCTTGGGCGAGTGCCTGATTTGGAAAAGCCGCCGCCCCCCATCCGTGCAAGTGCCGGCGAGCTCCAGGACGGGTGGACGTGGGGCCAGGGCGAGGGCCTCGTTCTTGAGAACGGGCAGCTCAAGCAGTGGCGAAGCGTCCTGGCTCGTCTATAGCCCTACCAAACAATGTTTAAAGAACCTTTTGTGGTTCCCACGAAATGTTCTTAGAACATTTCTGGTTGGGACTGTCTTGTTTTATCGCATCGGGTTTATGTTCTAAGAACATTGTTTTGCTCCTAGAACATCTTTGGGTTCTAAGAGCATTTCGTGGTAAGACTATAGGAATGACGGGACGGTCGGTCCCTGTTCAAGCAGCCTTGCATCAGCGTGGCCTTGGCAAGGGCGCCCTCGAGGGCGCGAAGTTATTCGCGCTTCGCGCTTCGCGGTTCGCGGTTCGGCTCCGATTCCTCTTCGTCCTCCTCTTCTCCCCTGGGAGGCGGCGCGAGAGCGCGAAGTTGTGCGCGCTTCGCGCAGCGCGGAGCGCGAAGTCGGGAGCCCTTGCTTGGACGATGCTCCAGGCGAGCGCACGCGGCCTTGGGGGCGAGAGCTCGCTCGGGAACGCCAGCACGACGTCTTCGGAGTGCACTGCTGCAGTCCAGTTATAGTCCTGAGTCGGGCCTGTCCCTCTGCAGGGGGAGTATTCAAAAGTAGTCAAAAGATAGCCTGGGGACTATTTCTTGAATATTTGTTTGACCGTTTAGGAGTTGTTCTGCGTTTTTGTTGTTGTTGTTGCATTTTTCGTCGAGATTCCTCCCTGTAGGGGGACGGGCCCGACCTAATTATGGTTCAATGTGAGTTTGGCCCACGGGAAGTGGAGTGCTAGATGGATGGCCGAGCCCTGGAGGGGGGGGAGGGGACACTTTGTTGACCTCTCTGTCCTGGCCGCACGGCCGATACCACCGGCCCCCGGGGTGGGGGCATGCTTGTTAGCCTCTCTGTCCCGTCGTTGCACCACCGAGCGAGGAAAAAAACACGTGAGCTTGGCCCACGATATTTCCCACGCGTCAAGCTGTCAGCGAATGTTTGTCCTCAGTGTGCTGCAGGGCTCGCAGGCCTGCCCGGTTCATGCTGGGGTCGCCTGCTGCGCCCGAGGACGAGGACAGGGACGTCGTGGCCCTCCTCGCGCACTTCATCATGCTCCTTCCTCTTGCCGCTCCCCAGGGCGGGGGGGGGGCCCCTCCTCCTCCTCCTCCTCCTCCTCCTCCTCCTCCTCCTCCTCCTCCTCCTCACCCTCCTCCTCTCCCTCGTCCTCCTCCTCCTCCTCCTCCGCCTCCGCCTCCGCCTCCTCCTCCTACTCCCCCCCTCCTCCTTCCTCCTCCTTCCTCCTCCTCCTCCTCCTCCTCCTTCTCCTCCTCCTCCTCCTCCTCAAGGCCAGGCTGCGGCAGCGCACGAAGGCGTCGAGCCGACGTTCTCCGGGAGCGGGAGGTGGACTATGGGGCGTCCGCCCTCACACTCCGGAGGGGGGGGGGGGAAGTGAGAAGGAAACGGCCTTCTCGGAAGGCGGCGGGACTTCCCAGAAGCCCTCGAGCCTTCTGAGAATTTTTCTGTGTCTTCGGAGAGCTTAGAAAACTTCGCAGAAGGCCGTGGGACTTCCGAGCCTTCTGAGGAGGCATTCTCTTTCTCATTCCCCCCCTCGCTTGCCGCCGACTTACCCCCCTCGGAGGGGGGAGGGGGGGGGGCAGGTGCTGGAGAGTCACACAGTGGGGCGGGGGAGTGGGGGGAAGCAGGAGGAGAGGGGGGGATCCTCACGAGCAGGGAGGAGAGCGGAGAGGAAAGGAAGGGGCAAGCTAGGTGCGACCACGCCGCAGCTCAGTGCCATCGCGCTGCATCTGACAGCCTACCCCTCCCGCCCGCCGCTTCTCATTGCGTTGAATCGGTTTCTATCCGCCGAGTGGGATGTCCTAAAACACATTGCTCCAGGACTTCAGCCATCGTTTGTTGTAGAGTCGGCGACGGGGGCCTCCTGTATATAGGAGGAGGCGCATCTGAAAGCTGCTCGCTCATTGAAAGATGATTTGTGTGTGCGGAAACCGTGCGCGCAAAGGCCAGATAGTTGGCAGCACGTCGCCAGGACAGATAGGCGAGTTGTGTTAACGAGTCACCGTTCAGAGTTTGGGGGGCAGACTATTTCGTTGCGATGCTCCAGCCAGTAGTTTGCGGGATTCGCCGGTACTCCAATCCTGCATCTTGCGCTCTGGACATCGCGCAGGCGATTTGCTCCAGCAGGCATTTTGCTGTTCGCGAGGCTGGCAGGATCTCAGGACCATGGGGGCAGCAGGCGGGCACCTTCCAGGGCTGCCCGCCATCGCCGTCATTATTTGCCACCTTGATGATTGTCCTCGTGTGGGACGCGAAGGCCACACGTCAGAAGGCGAAAACCCACCCCTACCCCCAGTCCCGAGTCCCATCCCCGAGCCAGCGATTCAAGGGGTCGGGACTGGGGGTGGGGGTGGGTTCTCTCCATTCTTGGGCCCCGAAAAGCCACCCCCACACCCAGTCCCACCCCCTGGATCGCGGGTTCGGGGATGGGGTCGGGATTGGGGGTGGCGGGGTGGATCTCCGCCTTCCCAACGCGGGCGACACGCTGATCGCGGCCCCGGGAGCAGCGGGAGCGGAACTGCACATGCAGGCCATCGCGGACGCGGGCGCTCACTGCGGACTGGTGTCAGCCCGGAGGAAGGTGGAGCGCCTGACCACCCGGTGCACTGCCTCTGCCATGGTCATAAGCCTGACGACTGCCCTACTCCCGAAAAGAAGGGCGTGGTATACGTGGGGAGTGTCGGGGTCAGCGAAGAGCGGGGTGATGGCTAAGGGGGGGGTGAATATCATGGCGTGGGCCATGATATCTCCCCAGATTTCATGGCGCCCCTTCTTATGTCATTACGTCCCCAGCCCCCCCCCGCCCCCTGGGCCGCGCACGTGCCGCCGGTCATGATTTGCGCCCCCCCCTCTTGGACGCCCCCCTCTTGGCCGCCCCCGAGAGCGGGGAGCGTCTTGACATCCGACTTTTCAGTCGCTGCGGAGTTGGGCCGGCGGATCGGCCGAGCCCGATCAACATTCGATTCCTTCCTTGCAGCGCATGTCGTCTCTCTCTCTCTCTCTCACTTTCTCTGAGTTGTCAGTCTGGGTGAGGCTCCACATGCACGCGGTGCGTGCCGAACCGGCGCTTCTGCTCGGTCTTCACGCACTCTGCCTGCGCCAGCACGACTCGTGTATCTGGAGGGCCTCGTCAGGCGTGCCGCCTGTGGAGACGCAGGCGTTTCCGCACTCGCGCGCTAGTCGCGTTTCACAGCAGCGAGCCCGTCGGGCGAAGCTCGGCAGCGACCTGTTCTGTGGAGCGGCAGTCTGGTTTTTCTCGGACACGCTGCGCGCAAAGGCAACGAGGAGGGATCATCCTGGAGGCAATCTTGGAACGAGCTTGGCAATCCTGGAGGCGAGTTTTCCAGTTTTCTGTCCCTCGTTGCGCGTCCTTTGCCGCCGTTGCGCGTTCTTGCGCACCTTTGCGCGTCCTTCCGGGTGGCCAGCGGTTTGGGCCGAAGGCTCAATAGAAACCTTTTGAAACGGGGGCGGTGGATGGATCCAGAAGAGGGCAATCCTCACCCCGCCGCAGCGTGTTGCGCTCGGCCAGGCACCTCACAACGATCCTGATGCCCTCCCCGACGCCTTCCCCGACGCCCAGCCCCGCGCCTTGCCCCGCGCCCAACCCTTCGCCCAGCCCCGCTCCAGCACGACGAACCCGACGACGAACCCGACGACCGCCAGCCGAACCCGACGAACCCGTCGGCACTGCCGCCCCCGGACGACCCCGACGGCCCTTCCAGACGACTGCCAACGCCCACCCCCCCGACGCCCACCGCCCACTCCACCGCTGCGCCTGCGCCGCCTGGTCGGCGCCGCCGCAGCGGGGTCCGTGGCCTCGTCGCGGCTGGGTTTTCTTTCCCTGCCCCTTGCCCGGCCTGTCTGCTTGCGGTTGCTTCTTCCCTCCTCCTCCTTGCTTCCCTCCTCCTGCCCCCTACCTCCTGTCCCCTGCCTCCTGTCTCCGCCTGGCCCCTCCTGCCCCCTGCCTCCTGCTCCTGCCTCCTGTCCCCTGCCTCCTGCTTCCTTTCCTCCTGCCCCCTGCCTCCTGTCTTCGCCTAGCCCCTCTTCTGCCTGCCACTGCCCGTCCGCCCCGCCGGCCCTGGCCCCCCGCCCGCGCGCTCATCGTCGCCTGCCCGCTTCCCTCCTCTACGCCCCTTTCCGCCGGGCAGCGCAGCTTGCCCAGGGCCAGGGCTCCAGCGAACGCAAATGCTATGAGTCGAGGCCTCGCCCGAGCGAGCGAGCCCTGTTTCGTCGCGGAGAGGCCCACAGCGCGAAACACCGACGCCGACAGCGAGCTCGACGCGGCGCTGGAGGGCCCGCACGGGCACGGATAGCAGCGCGGGAGAGCACGGAGGCCGAGGCGCTGGCGCAGTCCTAGACCCCCTCGCGCTGTGAAAAAATCACGACGGGAGGTTTTTCATTAACCTCATGAAGCGATTAAGGAACCCCCCGGGGTTATCATTAGCACCGCCCCGTAATTAAATAATTATTCTGGGGGTTTTCGCCGAGCGATATAATTAGCACCGCGCACTTGAAGGGAAAGTAAATAATTCCTGCGTCCCGTCTCGGATGGCATCCCAATTGGAATTATAATCAGAAACAAGAATACGAATGAAAATACGAATAATAACAATAATAAGAATAAGGCGAGTGTCACAAGTACTGCTGACACCGTAACTGTTACTGCTACCGTGATGACGGTGAAACCTGATGGCGTGATGCTACTGTTACTGCTACCGTGATGCTACTGTTACCGTGATGCTAGGCGATTTGTGAGGGTGCTCAGGCGATTTGGACAATTCTGTTAAGCAAGGCGAGGATGTCTCAAACGATTTGGCTAATTCTGAAAAGAAATGCGAGGATGTCTCAGGCGATTTGTGCAATTTTACTAAGATGTGCGAGGATGTCTCAAGCGATTTCTTTTTCTTCCTTCTCTACTCTTTGTTCTGATCCGCTTGTTTTTCCGATGAGGTTTCTATTGAAACTCCTTTAGAGAAATGCGTTTTTTTCGGCCGCCGTAGGGGGTGGTCCACCCGAGGTTATCGCCCCCACCCCGCACCGTGGCGTTATCTTAGCACCCGGCCAAAAAATATCCGTGCGACAGCCAGGTCGTGCTCGTCGTCGCCGTAATCGTCGGAAGACACCAATGGTAGATAGTTATTCATGACAACCATGACATGGCTGAGAGGCCCAAGGAACAACTGATGTTTCAGGCGAGTTGGTAAATTGTACTAAGAAATGCGAGGATGTCTCAGGCGAGTTTGCCAATTCTACTAAGAAATGCGAGGATGTCTTAGGCGACGTGGCCAATTCTACAAAAAAAATATAAGGCGCCACTGCTTCTTTCTGAGTACCTGGACTCCTGCCAGTACCTGGACTACTGCCTCCGAAGGCCTCTGAGAATAAGAGCTCCCTGGGCCCTGAGAGGCCCTGGACCCCGATGGGGGAGGAGGTCAGGCGGATCGGCCAAAGGCCTCTGAGAATAAGAGCTCCCTGGGCCCTGAGAGGCCCTGGCCACTGAGGGAAGGCGAGGGGCCATTGGCTGACGGCATCTCCCGGGCCCTGCTATGAGAACCCCTTGCGATACGTCTTGGACCGTCTTGGATTCTTCTGGAACCTCTCGGCCATCTTGGATTATTCTGAGGCTCCCTGGGCCGCGCAGGAGTCGTGAGGCTCCCTTAGTAGAAGTAAGAGTTGGAGTAGGAGTAGGAGGAGAAGGAGGAGGAGTTGGAGTAGGAGTAGGAGTCAAGCTAGCCAGCTCGAGCGAGTCAAGCATGGCATGCCCAGTCCCACCCGCCCTCCCACAACATAAGAAGCAAAGCTGGCACAACTGGGGGCCGAAGTCACACCGGCCAGCCGGTTTGGTACAGCTGATGCGGCCGCGATGGCGGTTGCCGACGGGAACTGGCGAGCGCGTGTTGAATGCCGCGCACGCATTGCCAGACGAGTCGAGAATGGCCCGGTACACCGCAGGAAGCCAGAGGTGGCCGGAGGAAGCCCGACGGTCTGACAGGACACCCCAAAGCATTTTTGTGAAAAAGCATTGGGTTTTTGATGT